CTTTGATGACATTGGGCCGCCATATGGTCATAAGACCCACACAGCCTACATGTCTGACGCTGTCCTGCATAATATACATAAACCTGTATTCTGAACTCTTCCATCAGAACGTATGATGGTATAGGTTGTCTCAATGTCATCCTCAAGGTGAAAGATCCCTCTGGCAGCCCCATATAAGGCCCATCTTTCCACACTCCCAACTCTGCCTAATGGATCTTGCCATATCTACGGAATACCTCCACAACATCGTATTCCAAGGCCTCAAAGGGGACATTTCTCACCTTTACCCATGTGTGGCGGCCTCCTGCCAAACTAGCAGTTAGACTGTTAACCTGCCGGCCGGCAGTACCAAGGGTACATCATCAAACCCAATGTGGGGACTGCTGAGCCAGCTTTAGAGGCAGTATTTACCCGACTATCTTATGGTATACATCTACTGGCAGTAGAGAGTATTCACTTGACCATCTTATCATATATATCTACTGGCCTTAGAAGTAGTATTAACCTGACCACCTTACGGTTTGCTTCTATTTGCTTTAGTAGTGTGTTCACCGCAGTTTTCCTGGTTACTCAGATGCCTGCGGACTTCAGTTTACCTGCTGGCCTGTTCCCTGCTGGCCTTTCTGAGGAGACACTTCAGACTCTCTCCTTGGTAGTATTTCCTTTTTCAAGAAGAGTTCTCCTTACTCAGTAATTGGTGATGCTATAAGTCATGGCTGATGCTATTGCGTAGTGTGACACAGAGAAGATATGGTCGGAGTGTGACACTGAAGAAGGATGGGATCATAGTGTGACACTGGAGGAAGATAGGCAGTGTGATACTGAAGTAAGATAAGGGCATAGTGGAACATTTAGAGAAAATAGTACCGTGTGACGCTGAAGGAAGATAGAGTCGTAGTGTGACGCTGATGAATAGTGTCATGTGACAGATTGCTGGCCTCAGAGGAGAAAGACGCTATGCAGGTGATCCTCTTCAAGGGGGGCTCCTTGGCATGGTGAAGAGGCCTTTGGTCTGAGGAATTAGACCTGTTGGTCTCCTTCCTCAGACCGAACCTAATTACCCCCCAATCCCCCCTCCCTTATCCTATCCTACCTTTTTCTTTTCCTCCTTCTCCTCCCCACCCCTCCCTATTACCCGTCCTCTTTTTTTTCCCCCACACAGGCACACTAGTTCCTGGGTAGGGGAAAGGGTACTGGGGTCCATCCTATTCCGCTGAGGTTCTTGGCGGTGGTGTAGTTTGCCATGGAATCTGGATCTCCTGGGGATGTCCCAATCCCTCTTCGGTCTCCCGGGGAGTGGCTTTGGGTATCTTTCAGGCGAAGGGTGTATCTCTGGAGGCTGCCTTTCGGATTCTAGGGGTGGTGGCCAAAGGAGGTATGCTTTGTGGTGGATATCCAGCCACCTTCTATTTTGTCCATCGAGGTAGCTCGGCAGATGTGAGGTTGCTATCTCGGATTGCTGGTTTACTGGCCTGATGGGTAGGGTATGGCATGGGTCCCATGCTGCATCTGCACTACTTGCATTGCTGAGGTCCTCTTGAGCTTTGGGGGAGATTTCTGGCCCTCTCATTCCTCCCAGGAACTATCCCTCCCCAGTCCCCCCTTTTTTTATTCTTTTTTTATTTTTATTTTCTTTTCTTCCTTCTTTTTTTTTCTTAAAAACAAAAAAAGGAAGCAAACTAACCATGGAAGCCCTAGTCCATTAACCTGCTACCCCCGGGCCCCTTCTTGATACCTCACCCAGTTCTGACCCCACCTCATCTTTGGACCACTCTTCGGATACTCCAAATGCCTCTGTACCTTTTGTCCATGCTGTTTCCTGTCCCGCTTCAGGTACTGAGGTCTCGACTGACTCCTTCAATTTATCTGACCTCCGTTCTCCTTTGACTATGCTTCCGGCCTCTCCCTCTATGGTGCGGCAATTTTCGAATTGCCGGTCCATTCCACGTCGGACCAACTCTGGTCCCACTCCTAAACGCCAACGACAATTACCTGCTGATGATACTTCTCCACCTCCTCGTTCTTCTCAGAAAAGATCGACACGTCCTGCACTCCCTTTCCATGCTCTGTTTCAGAATGCACAATGGACTAAATTCTTCACTTTACGACCGACTTCCTCTATTGCCTATCTTTCTGACCATAGTATTGGCAAGGCACTCCTATGCCATGTTGGTAAAGATATTTCTTTTCATGCTCTTAAGAGTGGTACATGCATCATCACTGTACAGAATGCTACCAAAGCTCATGATCTTTCTCTTCTTTCCCATATCGATACTGTTCCTGTCACTATTGAAAAACATTATTCCCTCAATTCTTGTAGTGGTACTGTCATTCTGCCCCATACCATAGTTCAACAAAATTTCCAGACATGTGGCAATGACATTCTTGAACAGCTGGAACTCCAAGATCTCCCAATCCTCAAGGTAGACACTTATGTACTTCCTGCCTGCGGGCAGAGACGATACCCTAGCAATGTGGCTCGTTTAACTTTTGACAGCCATGAACTCCCATCCTCAGTTTATGTAGCAGGACATTGGTTACAAGTTCGAAAGGCGATCCCTACACCTCAACAGTGTAGAAACTGCTGGCGATTTGGCCATCCAGCGAAATATTGCAGATCTATAGCCGAATACCCAGTCTGTGGTGCCGATGACCATTCTAATACATCTTGCAGTCGACCTCCCTCTCGCCTCAATTGTCATGAGGCTCACCATTTGTACTCTCGCCGTTGCCAAGTCTACTTAAATGAGCGGGAAATCCATTACCTCAAAGAAGCAGAAGGTCTCGCTTATGCCATGGCAGTTTCTCATCTCTGCCTCCAAGGGAGACTACCTCGTGTTTCTTATTCCCGTGTTTCAAAATGCCCCCCCACTTCTGGGGTCCCATCTTCTGCAACCTCCTCTGTGGTTACCTCTCCCATAGTCACTCATGTATCTAATTCTTTTGCTGTCCTGGGTTCAGACGTCCCTACTTCAACTCCTCAGTCTGTTCTCGCTTCTTCGTGTTCTCCCTCACAAGCCTCGGTATCAAAGAGATCTCATACGACACCTCCTCCCAATCGTCCCTCTACTTCTCAGAAGTCAAAAAAAGCTCCTTTAACCCCTCCTTCCCTTCTTCCACCTCCTCATTTTACCTTCCCTGTCTCTGTACCTGGTTCTTCCCCTCTCGCTGCCTCTGTTACAAGTGCAGAGGCTCACCCTTCTCCTCGTACTGTACCTTCCTCCCCTGTTTCCTCCCAAGTTTCTTCCTCTTCTGCCACCTCCCAGGTTTCTGCCTCTTCTGTCCCCTTCCAAGCTTCTTCTCCAGTTCTCTCCACCCTTTCGCCCCCCCTACCTTGGTAGAGTCCATTACAGTTTCAATCTTTACTCATCCTCCCTCTCCCATCTCCAATATTGTCTCCCATACGACATCTTTGAATTCCGAAATACTTGAAGCAATCTCTGAATATATTGCAGAAATCAAACCATCAATGGACACTGATCCACCCTCTGTTCCTTCTCTCTCCTCTCCTCCATCTGCGCAACTCCTTTCTTCGCAGCGCACCGTTCCTTCACTGCTTGAACATTTTCTGCTGCCACCACTTGTGGACTTTTCTAACCCCTCTAGTCTGTAGGAACCCTTACCTGTGGATTTCAGGTATCTTTATCGTTGCCAATCATGGCCTATTTACAGTGGAATATACGCAGCCTCAGGGGTAATCGGGGTGAGCTTCAGATGTTACTCTCCCAGTTTTCCCCTGTTGGTGTTTGCTTACAGGAACCAAAATTACACTCCGCTGTTATCTATCCCATCTCAGGCTATAATTTATTGTATTCTTCAGATCCTTTTCCTGATGGGACCTTTAATGAAAGTGCCCTTCTTCTTCGCACTGATATTCCATACCATAAGCTATTTGTTCGTACTTTGCTGCATTACACAGCAGCCCGTATCCACTTGCATAGGTGGTATATGCTCTGTTCTTTATATCTCTCTCCTTCTCGGGCATTATCTATCCTGGATATTGCCTTTCTTGTTTCGTCATCACCGCCACCGCTTCTGTTACTTGGCGTTTTTAATGCCCATCATTTCCTCTGAGGGGTCTCACTGTGATTCCTGTGGCATTCAGTTAGAGGGTTTTCTTGCTACCCACCCCCTCCATGTTTTAAATACAGGTACTCACACCCATTTTGATCCTCAGACTCATACTCTCTCTTGCATTGATCTCTCAGTCTGCTCTTCCTCCACTGCATTAGACTTCACCTGGTCGGTTCTCCTGGATTTACATGACAGCAATCATTTCCCAATCATTCTTACTTCCCCTTCATATTCACCACCTCTTGGCATCCCACGCTGGCAATTTGATCAGGCAAATTGGAACCTTTACTCACAACTAACTGTTTTTAGATAGGCTCCTTCTTCGTCATCCATTGATGAGCTTTTACACCTCTTCTCTTCCTCCATTTCAACCACAGCTTCTCATTCTATACCCCAAACTTTGGGCAGGAATGCTCAGAAATGCATGCCTTGGTGGTCTCCTGCTTGTGCTCGTGCAGTACGTTTGAAACACGCTGCATGGGGCAGGTACCGGTACAACAGAACAATGGAGAGACTTCTTGATTTTAAGCAGAAGTGTGCGATCACTCACCGTGTCATCCATGATGCTAAATGCACTTGCTGGCGAGATTATGTCTCCACCATCACCTCTGCTTCCTCTATGAGTGCAGTCTGGAAAAAAGTACGAAAACTGAGTGGTAAATATTCTCCTGACCCAGCTCCTGTTCTGCAGGTTGCCGGTGTTGATATAGCAAACCCACTAGATGTTGCCAATGAAATTGGCAATCATCTGGTCCGTATTTCTCAGGGGCTCCATCTATGCCCCTCGTTTCTTTCATCACTCTATGTTGATGACTTCGCTATTGCCTGTGCAGGCACTGACTGTCACCTCATTATAGTTTCTCTCCAGCATGCGGTCGACTGTGTTTCCAATTGGGCCACCACACATGGGTTTAAATTTTCCAGTACGAAAACTTACCAAATTACTTTCACTAGATGCTCTGTCATCTCCGATCATCCTTTGTACCTCTATGGCTCCCGTATCCCTGAACGTGATACAGTCAGGTTTCTGGGCCTCCTCTTTGACCGTGGGAGCGCTTGAGGTTCCTGAACCTGTATTCCCTGGAACGCAGGCGGGAGAGATACATGATTATATACACCTGGGAAATCCTAGAGGAACTAGTATCGAACTTGCACACGAAAATCACTCACTACGAAAGCAAAAGACTTGGCAGACGATGCAACATCCCCCCAATGAAAAGCAGGGGTGTCACTAGCACATTAAGAGACCATACAATAAGTGTCAGGGGCCCAAGACTGTTCAACTGCCTCCCAGCATACATAAGGGGGATTACCAACAGACCCCTGGCAGTCTTCAAGCTGGCACTGGACAAGCACCTAAAGTCGGTTCCTGATCAGCTGGGCTGTGGCTCGTACATTGGATTGCGTGCAGCCAGCAGTAACAGCCTGGTTGATCAGCCTCTGATCCACCAGGAGGCCTGGTCACAGACCGGGCCGCGGGGGCGTTGACCCCCGGAACTCTCTCCAGGTAAACTCCAGGCAGGTTATCCTGGAAACCTCATATTGCCTCTCTGAAGGCAACTTGTCACAGCCGGCTGAACCTTCTTAAAACCCTTGCTCATCTTTCATGGGGAGCTGATCGTCGAACTCTCCTTCGTCTACATTCCACCATCATTTTATCAAAACTTGATTATGGTGACCAGATCTATTCAGTGGCCTCTCCTGCTACAAAGGATTACATTTATGCCTTGGTGCTTTTCGCTCTTCCCCTGTCGAGAGCCTCTATGTAGAAGCAAACATTCCATTCTTATCCAATCGCCATGATGCCCATTGCCTTCGCTACTATGTACGCTCTCATGATCTCCGCAATCCTTCCATTTATAGAACGGTCACTGATATTAGTATACATTCTTTATTTGTTCACCGCCCCTGTTTACTCCATCCCTTCTCTCTGCACCTACATTCGCTCTTGTCTTCTCTTCAATTACCACCTTTCTATGTTAATGCAGCATCTCACTTTTCCCTACCCCCCTGGGAAGTTCCAGCTGTTCGAGTCTGTTCTTTCTCTCTCCCTTGCTCGAAAGCCCAACTGTCTACTGTAGCTTTCTGCTCTCTTTTTCTTGACCACTTCCACTCTTTTTCTCATGTCATTGCAGAGTACACAGATGGCTCTAAGTCTTCTTACGGTGTAGGGTTTGCAGCAGTGTTTCTGGACAGTGTTGTACGAGAGCATTTACTATCTTTGGCTGGTATTTTTACTGCTGAATTGTATGCCATTCTTGCAGCACTTATCCATATTGCATCTATGCCTGTGTCATCATTTGTGGTTGTCTCAGACTCCCTTAGTGCTTTACAGGCTATACAGAAAGTTGATACACCTCACCCCTTAGTCCTCCGTATCCAACTTTGGCTATGCTGCATCTTTACCAAGCATAAAGATATTATTTTTTGTTGGGTCCCTGGTCATGTTGATGTACAGGGCAATGAACAGGCAGACACTGCTGCGCGGTCAGCAGTACATGACCTACCAGTTTCATATAGAGGTATTCCATTTACAGACTATTTTGCTGCAATAGCTACCCACCTTCACACCCATTGGCAACAACATTGGCCTACTCTGCTTGGTAACAAACTTCAATCTATTAAACCGAGTATAGGTTACTGGCCATTTTTTTTGTCACCAGTGTCGAGGTTGGGAGACCACTCTCTCCCGTCTTCACATTGGCCATACTCATCTTACTCATGGATATCTCATGGAGAGGCGCCCTGCTCCTCTCTGTGAGAATTGTCAGGTTCCATTATCAGTCAGCCACATTCTGTTAGACTGCCCACTTTATCAACGAGCACGCAGAATTTACCTCCATCGTTGTCTTTGCTCCGCTGCTCTCTCTTTTCCTTCCCTTCTCGCTGATGGACCCACCTTTCGTCCGGACTCTCTCATTGACTTTTTGACAACAACTGACTTACTTTACAAACTATGATACCTTCAGCCCTTTCTACCTCAATCTCTTGCTACCCTCTACCCCCGCACTATCCCCTGCCCCGCTGTTTTCTGTAACCTACTGATCATCCCTTCCCCCTTCTGCTGCCCAATACCCTCACTTCCTTCCCTACCCTGCAGTGCTGTATAGCCCTTGTGGCTTAGCGCTTCCTTTTGATTATAATAATAATAATATGCATGTGATGCTGAGATGAATTAATTATAACTTATTATTGTATGATTAATATATACATAGTATGTACAAAGATGTTACTTATAATTTATTATTTTAGCATGTATATATATGTACTGTGACAGTAGTGTCCAGAAGTTGTATGCTGTGTGTGGTAGGGTCATGAATTAATTATAATTTATTATTTTAGGATTTGTTTGCACAAAGATGCTAATTACAATTTATTATTGTAACGTGTATATGTGTATATTATCAGACGTTAATATTTATAGAATACCTCTAGACCAAAGATTATTTTTATATAATATTAAAGATTAATTTATTTTAATGTTTATTCAGTATCCTGAACTCTTATATTACGACACGAGTTGAAGGCCACTTAGTCTTTTTGTAATACCACATTACATAGCTTGATACGTCATGTAGGCAGACCTCCACTGCAGAATTAACGGTCATTCTCTTTTCTTGGAATGTGTCGACTATGCTGGAGTAAAACCCTCTTGAACTTGATGAAAATCCTCGACACTCCATTCACTGCTACACCATACAGTTCATCGTTTGGTATGCCATATGCTTCGCGGATGATACTTGGCAGAAGCACCTGCATTGTAGAACTACTCAGGGTACCTTATACCAGCTCCACACTAACAGTATTTACCCAGCGTCCATGTCTGTCCACCACTGTGATTGCTCAAAACAGGAAAATTGCGCAGGAAAACCAATTTAAGCAGGAGCGTCTTTGCAGCACGTCCATACGGCCAGAGAGCGATTAGGACAATGACCGAGCAGATTAGACCAACGTTGTTGCCAATGGGTGTGAAGGTGGGTAGCAATGTCAGCAAAATAGTCCGTAAATTGGACCTCATCGCTTTCGGGCCGTGAGGTTGTGCTACACCTTGCTCCTGCATTCATCACTCAACCTTGGTGGAGGACGGACGTTGGCTGTTGTACTTCTGTCTGTTGGTAGCACTGCGAGATTTTCTCAAGATGGCGCATGCTGTCAGGAGATGTGTCAACACTGTGTGCATAGAAGTGCTGAAAGGTGCGGTGTGTAATACAAATGCATCTGTTCTACTGTCTGCTATCTTACGAGATACATGTGGAATCAACAATGAATATCTGTACGGCATTGCCTTAAACGGCTCAACGAGAATATTCGTGAAATTCGTGATGACAGTGATGTATGACAAGATGGTGGATCAGTACCAAGATATGTGTAAGACGGTTAACCCTGGTTTGGAAGTGAGAATGAGGGACGTGTCTAAGTATTATACTTGGGTTAAAATACGGAATGTCCCCTTTGAGGCAGATGAAGACGACATTAAAGCTTTGTTTGAGGAGTGTGGAGTGGTACATCAAGCAACCATTGGACGATGGTCAGATGGTATGTATGCGGGACTACGTGAGGGATCTTTCACTCTCAAAATGTCCTTACAGCGATCCATGCCTTCATTTGTGGCTTTGAATGATTTTAAAACTCAGGTATATGTCACATATGCCAGGCAAAGGAGAACCTGTCGATTGTGTGGCGCATTTGAACATGTGGCTGCACAGTGTCCATGACGTTCGTCGACTGGGACGCAGGGACAGTAGGGGAAAAGGAAAGAGAGGTGATGTCCCAGTCTACGGGAGAACATATTCGGGCATGTAGGACGTGGAGTGAGATTGTGGATGACAATCCAAAGGAGTGTGCTAAGTTACCGGAGGTAACACAGGACGTTGAGAAGATATGTATGGAAGAAGAGGTGGAACAAGAGGATTTGGATAGTGAAGTGTTGGCTGCCATAAATAATGTTATACAGGAATTTTTGGATGATCAGCATGAAGCTGGAATGCTGAATATAGGATTGCATGAGCAACATATGAATCAAGGAGGGGTTCATGAGGGAGGCAATGTGAGTAGGAGGGATGGGCAAACACAAGGGCTTCGTGAAACTGTAGTTGAAATACACAAGGAAGGCAGTCCGAAAGAGATGATCACTGTTGCGGCTTCACAAAAGAGGGAGGCAGCTGCCTCAGATAGCAATGATGTTCTTACGCCTGCACAACGTTCGGGAAAAAAACAAACAGTGGATGTGGCTAGGAAAGTCAAGGGGGAGGAGGGGGTAAGGGGAAGGTGACAGACGTGAATAGGAATGGGCATAGTGAAAAGAATACTGATCAAAAATGTAAAGAAACACATGGTAAGAGATCGATTGGTAAGCCCCCGTTAGCATTTTTAAGTGTTTAACATTGAATATAAATGGCCTCAGAGCCGAAGTGAAGAGGAGGACGTTCAGTGCCTTTTTAAAGAGATATGGGGTACAGGTTATTCTTTTACAAGAGCATAATTTTAAGTTAGGTTGGGATTTATTAGTTGAAGGGTATAAAGTTTATGCTGGATATACAGGTAAACTCAAGGGAGGTGCTGCTGTTTTAATAGCAGAGACCAGTCCATTTCAAATGTTACACTGGGAAGAAGGGGGGGATGGGAGACTAGTGAGGGTGGATGGTACATGGGGTGGGGTTCCAGTGTGTTTAGCAAGTGTTTATATGCCTGCAGACAGTAATAGGCGCGTAAAGGAAGATTTTGTGATGGATGTTCTTATTTATCATATGCGAGGGCTTCCTACATATACATTCTTTGGAGGGGATTGGAATTGTGTGATCCGTAGGAAGGATGTGGAGCCGAGAGGAGCCGAGTGTGTGTGTTGGGGGTCCTACGGGATGTATTAGGAGGAGTCGGATTAGTAGATGTAGCGAGTGGGGAGGGGCGGGTGATTGAGCATACTTATGTTGGGAGTGGATATGCAGCACACTTAGATTGCATTTATGTCTCTCCTGGGATACAAGTTAATAATATTCAATTCAAAGTTTATTCTCTATAAGGATTACAATGCTGAGTTTACAGAAATTTGGATATTGTGTGGTTTACATGTAGTAAAAATGTGATTACAGAGTGTACCACTAGAACGCTTAGCATGGCTAGGCATTTCGGGCAGACTTAGTTTTATTCTTAATTGTAAAATATTACAAATTATGAGGTAAGTTGGTATTATGGCTAAGTGATTAAATACTAGTTTGTGAGTTTAGCAATGTGAATGCTTTTGTTTTGGCACAGTACATAGTTTCAGTATTGGAGTATCACAGGATTCATTATTTTAAGATTGAGATTAATATTTCTGTTTATGGTCAAATGAGTGAGTGAGTGTAAGTGTGAACCACCAGGTGGTATTTGTGTAGTTAGTTCACGGGGTGTATCAGGGAGATAAGATGTTTTCTAATGGTAGTTTTGAAGGTGATGAATGTGTCTGCAGTTCTAGAGTTCTCAGGTAGGGTATTCCAGATTTTAGGGCCTTTGACATACACTGAATTTTTGTAAAGGTTTAGTCGGACACGGGGAATGTCGTAGAGATGTTTGTGTCTGGTGTTATGCCTGTGGGTTCTGTCACAACTATCAAGAAAGCGTTTTAGGTCAAGGTTGATATTAGAGTTTAAGGCCCTGTAGATGTAGATTGCACAGTAGTAAGTGTGGATGTACTGAACTGGGAGTAAGTTTAGGTCTATGAAGAGTGGTGGGGTGTGTTGCCAGAGATGGGATTTAGTGATTATTCTTACTGCAGCTTTTTGTTGGGTTATTATTGGCTTTAGGTGTGTTGCTGCAGTTGATCCCCAAGCACAAATAGCATAGGTGAGGTATGGATAAATAAGTGAGTGGTATAGTGTGAGAAGGGCATTTTGCGGCACGTAGTATCGTATCTTGGAGAGGATCCCTACCGTTTTGGATACTTTTTTGGTTATATGCTGGATATGGGTGCTGAAATTCAGGTTGTTGTCAAGGTATAAGCCTAGGAATTTGCCCCCATTATTTCTGGTAATTAGAGTGTTGTCAATCTTAATGTTAATTTGTGCATCTCCTGCTCTGCTACCAAACATAATATAGTAGGTTTTATCAGTGTTAAGCATAAGTTTATTGGCTGTCATCCAAGTCGATATTTTAATCAGCTCCTCATTCACAATGGTGTTGAGGGTGGCAAGATTAGGGTGAGAGATGACATAAGTCGTGTCATCAGCAAAGAGAATGGGTTTCAGGTGTTGGGATACGTTTGGAAGGTCATTGATGTATATGAGGAAGAGCAGGGGACCAAGGACACTTCCCTGCGGAACTCCTGTATCAAGTGGCCGTGTTGCTGATGCTGTGTCTTTAATGGTGACGTACTGATACCTATTAGTAATGTAAGATTTGAAATAAGCAGCGCATGGCCTCTTATACCGTAATGATCAAGTTTGTGGAGTAGGATGTCGTGGTCTACTGTGTCAAAAGCTTTTCTTAGTCAATAAAAATTCCTAGTGGATATTCCTTATTTTCCAATGCTGTGTAAAGCAGATCTAGCATTTTTATGATTGCATCATTAGTGCTTTTATTTTTCCTGAATCCAAATTGGCAGGGGTTGAGTATGTTTTGAGCCGTTATAAATGAATACAGTCTCCTGTGCACGAGTTTCTCAAAGATTTTGGATAGCAATGGTAAGTTAGATATTGGCCTATAGTTGTTTAAAGTCTGTAGGGTCACCACCTTTATGTATTGGTGTAACCCTTGCCATCTTGAGTAGTTTCGGGAAGGTGCTAGTCTCTAGTGACTTGTTAAAAAGTAATGAAATAGCATGCGAGAGGACATGGGCCGCTCGCTTGTACAGTAATGGTGGGACATGAGACAGATTCCCCGAGTTATTTTTAAGTGACTTTATAATCTCAGTGACTTCCGTGGGCTCAGTTGGTGCAAGATAGAAGGAATTAGGGAAATTCCCATCTAGGTAGTCCCCGGCATGGGCATTGGTATGTGGGATTTTACTGCGAGATTAGATCCTATGGTTGAGAAGAAGTCGTTTATCTTGTTAGCTGTGTCAGTGGGATGTAGTGGTGTTTCATTAGGTTTAGTTAGGACAATATTCTTGGTTTTTCTCAGTTTGTGGGTCCCTAGAATCTGAGAGAGTGTTTTCCAGGTCTTTTTTATATCTCCTCTAGTGTCTGTGAATCTACTGGAGTAGTATAGTTGTTTGGCTTTCTTTATTACTTTGGTGAGAGCTGATGAATAGTGTTTAAGAATATATTTGTGTATTAAGCCCTGTCTATATTGCTTTTCATATTGGTGTTTCTTGTCAATGGATTTCAGAATGGTGCTGGTTAGCCATGGACAACCAAGCCGTTTGTTTGTGATCTGTTTTGTTTTTATAGGACAATGTTTGTTGTATAGTCTAAGTAATTTGTCAAGAAAAATGTCTGTCCAGTCATCAA